CTTGGAGTTACACATCTGTAACTGAATCATATCTCCAGTCCCAATTGTGGCACTATTGCCTCAGTCGTAAGAGTCCCCCAATCCTTCTTGACCAGGCAGCAGCTGCTGTGAGTGACAGAAATCTGTTCTCCTGTTGATCAAGATGCAGTGTCTTGATGTTTGTATCATCAATCTCTGATGCAAGGAGGAATTGCAACTGGGATTGTGCTTCTAATATCAAATCATGGGAGGAAGGATGGAAATGTGAGAGTATTCTGACCAGATCAACAGGAGAACAGAGGTTTGTTGCTTGCGGCAGCTGCTACCCAATAAAGCAATATTTCTTGGTTGAGTTAGTGGACGTGCCTTAGTAAAATAAGTATACTGAAGTAAGATGATCTAAAGTAGGCATGGGCAAACTGTTAGGAATTGTAGGAGTTGAAATCCAAACTACCTGGAGGGCCAAAGTTTGCCCATGCCTGACCCAAAGTCTCAGACATTATTCCAATATTTTGTCCCTAAAACTGTACCCGAAACCTTCCCAGAATGAGGAACGCTTCATCAATGCTGCCTCATGAGTCTTGGCCCTATTCACGAGTAGCCCTTAATTCCCAAAAGGTTTTCCATATCAGGCAAACATCCACATGTGTGGCCATCTCTTTCATTCATTTGTTCATTTCATTTCTATCCCATCTTTTTCCTTATGCAGGCTTTTGAAAGTAAATTTGCAAAATATAAATGGATCACTGACAAATTTTCTCTAGCCTTGGTCGCCTTAGTTGATGATCTTCGCCGGGAACTGGACAGGGGGAGTGTGTCCCTGTTGGTTCTGCTGGGCCTCTCTTCGGCCTTCGATACTGTCAACCACGGTATCCTTCTGGGACGCCTCGCGGGAATGGACCTCGGAGGTACTGCCTTGCAGTGGCTCCAGTCCTTCCTCGAGGGTCGTTCCCAGAAGGTGTTGTTAGGGGACTCCTGCTCGGCCCCACGGCTATTGTACTGTGGGGTCCCGCAGGGCTCAGTATTGTCCCCTATGTTATTCAACATATACATGAAGCCGTTGGGAGAGATCATCCAGAGTTTCGGAGTGCGGTGTCTGTTACAGCCTGTGCTTGACGGGGTTGCACTCCCCCTGAAGACACAGGTTCGCAGCTTGGGAGTGATCCTGGACTCATAGCTGAGCCTGGAACGTCAGGTCTCGGCAATAGTCAAGGGAGCTTTTACACAATTAAAACTTGTGCGGTGGTCCACGCTCTGGTTACATCCCATATAGACTACTGCAACGCTCTCTACGTGGGGTTGCCTCTGAAGACTGCCTGGAAGCTGCAACTAGTCCAACCTGCGGCAGCCAAATTACTGACAGGAGCGGGGTACAGGGAGTGCACAACTCCTCTGTTGCATCAGCTCCACTGGCTGCCAATTATCTTCCGAGCACAATTCAAAGTGCTGGTGTTAACCTACAAAATCTTAAACGGTTCTGGCCCGGTTTACCTGTCCGAACGGATTCTCCCCTATGAACCATCAAGGTTGTTAAGATCTTCTGCAGGAGCCCTGCTCTCGGTCCCACCACATTCGCAATCGTGTCTGGTGGGGACGAGAGACAGGGCATTCTCGGTGGTGACCCCTCGGCTGTGGAACTCTCTCCCAATGGAGATCAGATCTGCCCTTTCCCTCCTGACCTTCAGAAAGCTAGTGAAATCCTGGCTCTGGGACATAGCATTCCCAGAATAATTGGTTGAGTCCAGCAATAACTTAATAACTACTGACCACATTTGCGGATTGCGTTGAACTTGATTCTATCTTGGCGATTTGGCTTATATGTATTTATTCTGTTTGCATTTTAACTTATTATGATATTTTTAGTTGTATTTGTGCATTGAATTTCTGCTGTTAGCCAGTCTGAGTCCCTCTACGGAGGTAGAGAAGACCAGGATGTAAAAGTTTTAAATAAATAAATAAATAAAATAGAACAAGTTAGAAGCTTCCATTATCCCAGCCTTACCTTCCACCACACCTTATTCTGGAGAGAGTGCTGCGTCCGGAAAATCCTGCCAATCTCTTGGGAAGACAGGCGGACAAATGTCAGCGTGCTGGAAGAAGCAAAGACCACCAGCATTGAAGCGATGGTCCTCCGCCATCAACTTCGCTGGACCGGCCACGTTGTCCGGATGCCCGACCACCGTCTCCCAAAGCAGTTGCTCTACTCCGAACTCAAGAATGGAAAATGGAATGTTGGTGGGCAGGAAAAGATATTGAACGACGGGCTCAAAGCCAACCTTAAAATCTCTGGCATAGACACTGAGAACTGGGAAGCCCTGGCCCTTGGGCGCTCCAGCTGGAGGTCAGCTGTGACCAGTAGTGCTGTAGAATTTGAAGAGGCATGAATGGAGGGCGAAAGAGAGAAACATGTCAAGAGGAAGATGTGTTAAGCCAATCCCGACTGAGACCGCCTTCCACCTGGGAACCGATGCCCTCACTGCGGGAGAACATGCAGGTCAAGAATAGGGCTCCACAGTCACCTACGGACCCACCAGACACTGATCCTGGAAGACTATCGTACTCGGCCAATGAGAGATCGCCTAAGTAAGTAAGTAAGTATGTGCACATTGTTGTGTGAATGTGTTTTTGCAATTGCCACATGTCTTTGACCTGTTGGTTTCCTCTCCCCTTCTGGAAGCGGGAGGATTTGGACTATCAATCCAATGCAATGCTGTTTGCCAAAACAAATATCAGAGCAAGAGAATACGATGTGAAATAAGCAGCACACCCGATTCTGAAAGTGTTTAAGGAAAATACTATTTTAATAGGCTGTCTTTTGTGCCCCTGCATCACTCCTATGTTTCCTCTCATTTCTATAAAAGACCAAAATAGAACTTTTTAACATAGTCATCTTTTTCAGAGCTGAGTCCCACCTTTCGCTCCATTTTATTATTTTCCTTTTAACAAACTATACATCAGTCTAACATTTGGTGTCTTTTACTCTCCACTTTCCCTTCATTTCTTTGTATTCCCTCTTGCCGGAGAGCCAGCTTTTATGAACCTGTAAACATCCCGATCTGTTGGACTCCAAGTCCCAGCATCCCTAGCCAATGTAGCCAATCAAGAAGGATATTGGGAACTGTATTCTAACAACATCTGTTGTTGTATAGTCGAAGCTTTTCATGGCTGGAATCACTGGATTGTTGTAGGTTTTTTGGGCTATATGGCCATGTTCTAGAAGCATTCTCTCCTGACGTTTCACCTGCATCTGTGGCAAGCATCCTCAGAGGTAGTGAGGTCTGTTAGAACTAGGAAAATGGGTTTATATATCTGTGGAATGACCAGGGAGGGACAAAGGACTCTTGTGTGCTGGAGCTAGGTGTGAATGTTTCAACTGATCACCTTGATTAGCATATAATGGCCTGACAGTGCCTGGCGCAAACTTTTGTATAAAGTATAAACCCTTTTTCCTAGTTCCAACAGACCTCACTACCTCTGAGGATGCTTGCCATAGATGCAGACGAAACGTCAGGAGAGAATGCTTCTAGAACATGGCCATATAGCCCAAAAAACCTACAACAATGCAACATCTGTTGATACTTACATGAAAAAAATAATAATTCTCAACAGGCTCTTTTCATGATAGATATAAGAATCATGCAGTCTCCTAAATGTTTGTGAACTCCAACTCCCATCCTAGCCAATGGCGAGGAATGCTGGGATTTGCGGTTCAACAATGTCAGGAGGAATGCGAAGGAATTTTGTAGCACCTTTGAGCATTTCTTATCTGGAATTCGAGACCCGAAAAACTCCAAAATTGTCCACTTGGGTTGTCGAGACAGTGAGACCTTTGCTTCCAGACACAAACTTTGGTTTCATGCGCAAAATTATTACAAAACGTCGAGTGCAAAATGACCTTCCGTCTATGTGTTTAATTCTGTGTTGAGACTTGAGTCCCATCTCCATTATGTAGATGCAAGTATTCCAAACGCTGAAAGAAAGAAAAAATCCAGAACACATCTGGTCCTAAAGCATGTCATACAAGATCCTTTCATATAAAGTTGTCCCAGATTTGGTTTGAAATGTTTCTTTGGGAAGAGGTCAGCATTTCTCAACCTGGGGGTCGGGGCTCCTGGGTGGGTCGCAAGGGGGTTTCAGAGGGATCGCCAAAGACCTTCAGAAAACCATGAATTTCTGATGGTCTGAGGAACCCCTTTGGCAGAGAAGGCCGAAGATCTCTCTGCCTGGCCTTCTCTTTCCTTTTGGAAACAGACGGCACATTCTCCCACCAAAATCCTTCCTCTGCTGTGATTGGCCAACTTCTCAGCCAAGGGAAGGGCTGTTTATGAGACTCCAAGCTGGGAGGGGAGAGCAGGCGTGCTCAGTGCATGGTGTGCATGTGCAGGTGAGGGAGAGCATGCGAGGCTGGAGGGAGGCTCGTGCGAGTAGTCCCTTCAAGGCATGGGGTTCTGTGTGGGACGTTTGGCCTAATTCTATCATTGGTGGGATCCAGAATGCTCTTTGATTATAGATAAATCCTATAAATCTATAAATCCCAGCAACTACGACTCCCAAATGTCAAGGTCTATTGTCCCCAAACCCCACCACTATTCGCATTTGGACATATTGAATATTCGTGCCAGGTTTGGTCCAGATCCATCATTGTTTGAGTCCACAGTGCTCGCTGGATGGAGGTGAACTACAACTTCCAAAATTCAAGGTCAATGCCCACCAAACCCTTTCAGTATTTTCTGTTGACCATGGGAGTTCAGTGTGCCAGGTTTGGTTCAATTCCATCATTGGTGGAGTTCAGAATGCTCTTTGATTGTAGGTGAACTATAAATTCCAGCAATCACAACTCCCAAATGTCAAGTCTATTTTCCCCAAAGACCACCAATGTTCACATTTGGGCATATTGAGTATTAGTGCCAAGTTTGGTCCAGATCCATCTCAGTTTGAGTCRGCAGTGATGTCTGGATGGAGGTGAACTACAACTTCCAAAACTCAAGGTCAATACCCATCATACCCTTCCAGTATTTTCTGTTGACCATGGGAGTTCTGTGTGCCAGGTTTGGTTCAATTCCATCATTGGTGGAGTTCAGAATGCTCTTTGATTGTAGGTGAATTATAAATCCCAGCAATCACAACTCCCAAATGTCAAGTCTATTTTCCCCAAACACCACCAATGTTCACATTTGGGCATATTGAGCATTCGTACCAAGTTTGGTCCAGATCCATCATTGTTGGAGTCCACAGTGCTCTCTGGATGGAAGTGAACTACAACATCCAAAACTCAAGGTCAATGCCCACCAAAGCCTTCCAGTATTCTCTGTTTGTCATTGGAGTATGCCCACATTTGAGCATATTGAGTATTCGTGCCAAGTTTAGTCCAGATCCATCACTGTTTGAGTCTACAGTGCTCTCTGGATGTGGGTGAACTACAACTCCAAAACTCAGGGTCAGTGCCCACCAAAGCCTTCCAGTATTCTCTGTTTGTCATTGGATTATGCCCACATGTGAGCATATTGAGTATTTGTGCCAAGTTTAGTCCAGATCCATCATTGTTTGAGCCCACAGTGCTCTCTGGATGGAGGTGAACTACAACTTCCAAAACTCAAGGTCAATGCCCACCAAATCCTTCCAGTATTTTCTGTTGGCCATGGGAGTTCTGTGTGCCAAGCTTGGTTCAATGCCATCATTGGTGGAGTTCAGAATGCTCCTTGATTATAGGTGAACTATAAATCTGAGCAACTACAACTCCCAAATGTCAAGGTCTATTTTCCCCAAACTCCACCAGTGTTCACATTTATTGAGTATCCTTCTAGTTTTTTTTTCCTGTTGGTCATGGGAGTCCTGTGTGCCAAGCCTGGTTCAATTCCATCACTGGTGGAGTTCAGAATGTTCCTTGATTGTAGGTGAACTATAAATCCCAGCAACTACAATGCTCAATTGACAAAATCATTCCCTTCCAACCCCACCAGTATTCAACTTTGGGCGTATGGGGTATTTGGTACATCCTGTATATCAGATATTTACGATTCATAACAGTAGCAAAATGACAGTTGTGAAGTAGCAATGAATATAATGTTATGGTTGGGGGTCACCACAACATGAGGAACTGTATTAAGGGGTCGCGGCATTCAGAAGGTTGAGAAACATTGCTCTAGGTCCTCCAGTGTGACTCTGCGTTGAGTCTCCTCAAGGAACTGGAGATTTCTAGAGACAACGTGTTTAATCGAATGCATTTGTATGTGAGCATCTGTCATTCTCTCCACGTGCTCTGCTCTCCTTCTCTCCCTTCCCTAGATCCAAAGACGGGGTTTGGATCTAGAAACCAACCTATTTTTAGGGTTCACGTTTGGCTCCTGATGATGCAGCTGGAAAATGAGAGCCGACACCAAAAATACTTCAACCCCAAAGAGCAAATAAACATGTGATTCAAGGCATTCATTCAGTCCCAACACGAAAGGTCCTTCGAGATGCATTCTTGCCATCTTTGCTTGTTGAGCTTCAGAGGTTCTCCAAAGCTCTGGCCTAACCATATTTTGGAAGCCACCTACATGTCCGGTGACATTTAGATAGACAATTAAGAAATGAATCGTTGTTCTGTGATTAATTTTTTTGCTTTTTTTTTTCACCAGCCAGTCACTCAGTCAGCGCATTTTAATAAAGAAGAACATTAAATGGAATTGTGATGCTTTCCCCTTCTTCTTCTTCTCCTTCATCCTCATGTCACTGGACTCCAAAACGAGGCTCGCAAAACCCAAGGTGGGATCCAGCAGATCTGGTGAGTAATAGTCCTCAGCATTGTCTTCAAAGGGCTTATTAAGGACTCGGGACAATCAGGTGGTTTTGAAAAAGCGGCTGCATGAATAACCCGACGGTCCCCACCACACAGACTAAGACAAATATCCAGAGAAATAGCCGGTCCACTACCATGGCCACGTATTTCCAGTCCTCGACAACCTGGAAGAGCAAACCACAGGCATACATCAATCGGTGGCATCGAGCAGGTGGGAGTCAACCCAGACCCTTCTCCCTCACACGATCTTCTCCTTCCTTCCTCCTTTCATCCCTCTTCCTCCTTCCCTTCCACCTTTTCGTTCTTCCTCTTTCCTTCCTCCTTCCCTCCCTCGCCTCCTTCTTTCTCCCTCCTTCCCTTCCTACCTTCCCTCTCTTTTCTCCTTACTTTCTTCCTTCCCTTTTGTCTTTCCTTCCTTCTCTCTTTCCTTTATTCTTTGCTTCCTTCCTTCCATCCTATTCTTCCCTTTTCTTGTTCCTTACGCCTTCCCTTTCATCCTTCCTTCTCTCTTTCCTTTCCTTTTTGCTTCCTTCTTCTCTTTTTTCCTTCCTTCTCTCTTTCTTTCCTCCTTCCCTTTCATCCTTCCTCCCCTTTTGTCTTTCCTTCCTTCTCTCTTTCCTTTACTTTTTGCTTCCTTATTCACTTCTTTCCTTCCTTCCTTCTCTGTTTCCTTCCTCCTTACCTCCCTCTTTCTCCTTCAATCCTTCTCTTCCACTCTTTTGTCCCTGCTTCCTTCCCTCTCTCCTTTTCTCCTTCCTCCCCTTTTGTCTTTCCTTCCTTCTCTCTTTACTTTACTTTTTGCTTCCTTCTTCACTTCTTTTCTTCCTTCCTTCTCTGTTTCCTTCCTCCTTACCTCCCTCTTTCTCCTTCCATCCTTCTCTTCCCCTCTTTTGTCCCTCCTTCCTTCCCTCTCTCCTTTTCTCTTTCCTTCTCTTTTGTTTTTCCTTCCTTCCCTCTTTCCTTTATCCTTCCCTTCCTTCCTTCCTTCCTTCCTTGCTTCTCTTCCTCCCTTCCTTCTCTCTTTCCTTCCTCTTTCCCTTCCTTCCATCCTTCCCTTCCTTTTGTCTTTCCATCCTTCTCTTTCCTTCCTCATTACTTCCCTCCTTCTCCTTCCATCCTTCCCTTCCACCCTTTCATCCTTCCTTCCTTCCTGCTCTCCCTCTTTCTTCTTCCTTCCTTCTCTTTTTCCTTCCTCCTTCCTTTTCATCCTTCCTTCCCTTTTCTCTTTCCTTCCTTCTCTCTTTCCTTCCTCCTTCCCTCCCTTTTGTCTTTCCTTCCTTCTCTCTTTCCTTCCTCCTTACCACCCTCTTTCTCCTTTTATCCTTCCCTTCCACTCTTTCGCCCCTCCTTCCTTCCCTCTCCCCTTTTCTCCTTCCCTCCCTTTTGTCTTTCCTTCCTTCTCTCTTTCCTTTATTCTTCCCTCCCTCCCTCCCTTCCTTCTTTCCTTCCTTCCCCTATTCTTTCATTCCACCCTTCCTTCCCTTTTGTCTTTCCTTCCTTCTCTTTCCTTCCTCATCACCTCCCTCCTTCTATTCTTCCCTTTCCCCCTTTCACGCTTCCTTCCTTCCTTCCTTCCTTCCTTCCTTCCTTCCTTCTCTCTTTCCTCCCTCCTTTCCTTCCTTCCTTCCATCCATCACCAGGCAGCCAGTCCTCCTAGCAGGGAGTGCTAGCATGCAGCCCCCAAGTTAGAAAGTTTGCCCAGGCCTGGTATAAAGCCTCAAGTTCAGCCATGTACGACTATACACTACTGCAGGTTTGGGAAAACTTTGGCCCTCCCTCCAGGTGTTTTGGACTTCAACTCCCACAATTCCTAACAGCCTTGGGCCCCTTCCTTTCCCCCCTCAGCCAAAACACCTGGAGGGAGGGCCGAAGTTTGCCCATGCCTGCAGTCGTAGCCAAGAAGTGATTGGGAAACAGACCTGAGGCTTCAAAGTAGTCAGTTCTCCACATGGACTGAGGTGAGGATTGCAGGAAAAATGCAAATAAGAACTCAAACCCACCAATAACCAAATCAGTAAAAGTTAAACCCGTAAACGTTGAGAACTGATTGTATAGGAAAACCCTTGAAAAGTATGTTATCCACTCCAGGATTTCTCCAACCTTGGGGCCTGACCGGTGCCAAAGATTCTGGGCATTGGCATCCCAAATATCTGGAGGGTCAAAACTTGACAACCGTTGGCCTCATCCCAATTCTATGCCAGTCCCATTTCCCTGGGAGCATGGACCCATTCATACTACAGAATTATAGTGTTATTAAACCACTGAGCTGCTGAACTTGCTGACCAGGGTGGCTCGGGTGGGTGAGCGTTCCCATTTATCCTCACCAAATTTAATAACGCTGCAATAAAAAAAATCTGGGCAACAGAAACAGAAAGATGGTGAATCCAACCCCCTTGCTTTGTATTATAGTAAGTAAATGAGCCCCCGGTGGCGCAGCAGGTTAAACCACTGAGCTGCCGAACTTCCTGACCGAAAGGTCTGGGGTTTGAATCCAGGAAGCAAGGTGAGCTCCTGCTGTTAGCCCCAGCTTCTGCCAACCTAGCAATTTGAAAACATGCAAACGTGAGTAGATCAATAGGAAAGGTAACAGTGCTCCATGCAGTCATGGAGGTGTCTATGGACAACGGCGGCTCCTCGATTTAGAAATGGAGATGAGCACCAATCCCCAGAGTCGGACACAACTAGACTTAATATCAGGGGGGAACCATCATCTTTACCTTTACCATTCCACTGTAATTCTAGGGTTTGTAATTTGGCAAGGTGCTGGAGCTCTGGCTGGGAATGCTAAGTGTCCCTCTCTAAACTGTAAATCCCAAGATTCCATATGCTGGAAGTGTTGCAGTGCTATCATTCCATAGTGTGAATGAGCCCCAGGTGATCGGACTAAAGTTCTTTTCACACTACACAATTATAGCATTATGGTTCCTGTTTAGTTGGCCTGTTTTTCTCCTATGGAATTTTAACACCTGAAGTTTAGGGGAGGATTGTTGTAGGTTTTTCCAGGCTACAAGGCCATGTTCTAGAGGCATTTTCTCCTGGTCAGTTGAAACATTCACCCCTAGCTCCAGCAGACAAAAGTCCTTTGTCCCACCCTGGTCATTCCACAGATATATAAACCCATTTTCCTACTTCCAACAGACCTCATTACCTCTGAGGATGCTTGCCATAGATGCAGGTGAAACGCCAGGAAAAAATGCCTCTAGAACATGGCCATATAGCCTGGAAAAACCTACAACAACTTTAGGGGAGGAATTTGGAATGCTCAACCAGAGCTGTGAATTGGGATTGACTAATGGGTTGACATATCATCCAACAACATAGCTATTGGGTCTAACCAACAACAAACAGACCAAAATTGTTTTGGACCACGTACACTCTCGTTCTTATCCTCACTCCTCATGTGGTCCGCTATGAAGCTGACCCCCTCGATCGCCTCTTGGACTTCGGGAGAAAACTTGGCCGAGGAGCGTAGCCTCACGTCTTGATGGCTGCTGGTGTGGTCCAGGTGGTCCGTCAATTTGGGGTCATACTTTTTCACCGAAGCCGTGTTCACAAAGTAGGTGGAACCCTTGTACGCATTCGAGGAGTCTCCCAGGGCCTCAGATTTGCTCCTCTTCTGGTTGCGTAGCCGTTGCTTTGCAGAATGGTTCTCCGGACGCCGCATGAACAGGTAGCGGGGCAGTCTGTCCAGGAAGACCACCTTCACCCAAGGCGGCATAGCATGCGTGCTGGGAGACCGGTGGTGGACGTTCAGCACACAGACGCTGGTCACGATGGAGAAGGTCACCAAGACCATGGTGAACATCAGGTACTTTCCAATCAATGGGACATCGAGCGACGTCGGGGGCACAATTTTGGAGATCAGGAGTAAAAACACCGTCAGGGCGAGCAGGACAGAAATGCAAAGGGTCATTTTCTCTCCACAATCCGAGGGCAGGTAGAAGACTAGGATGGCCAAGGACGTGATGAGCACGCAAGGGATGATGAGGTTGATGGTATAAAAAAGCGGTTTCCTCTTGATGATGAAGTCATAAGTCAGGTCCACGTAACTGGGGTCCAAAGGGTTCTCCGTCCGCCGTCCGGGAAGAGCCACGATGTCCCACTCACCGCTCGGAGTGAAGTCGTCCATGCTGGCTGAGGTGTTCTTCAGGATCATGTCGATCTCGGTGTGGTCGTACGTCCACGAGCGGAACTTCAAGGTGCAGTTCTGTTGGTCGAAAGGGAAATGCTTGACCTCAATCTTGCAGGCGCTTTTGTAGATGGCGGGAGGCAACCAGAAGATGCTGCCGTTGTTCTTGACCACTACGTTCGTGTAGACAGAGACTTCGTATGTGCCGTCAGCACTGAAGAAACGGACAAGAGAAAAAGTGGATTATGGAAAATGTTGAGATTCAAATCATGTCAACAATCGAATTGTGGTTTTATCTACCCCCTCCCCAGCCCACCTGATAAAATATGGCCTCTGTTGGCATTTTCTAGGCCTTCCAATGCAACCCGATGCTATTCTTGTGCCAGATGTTTCAATAAGGTTCATCTCTCCACAGATCAATGAGAAGTCTGGGAAGATATTCTTTATTGATAGGTTGTCCCTAAACCATTGGACATAATGAAAAGGCATAAGAACGTACTTGTTGTACAGCACGATATCTGGCAGCCAAACTTTCTTAGCCGGTATCCTTAGCTTATTGATCCCGTCGTACTCGGAAGGTTCCCAAGATAGGCGGTAATCCGTCCATTCCTAAAAGTAGGACAGAGACATCATCTTAAATTCCATTTTCTTTTTGCACATTGATTGCTTTATACATTCCAAATGCAGGTACTTAAATCTGCCTGCAAAATTACATAGGACGTGGTCTAAGGGATGATGCAAACTTGGGCCCTCCAGGTGTTTTGGACTTCAACTCCCTCAATTCCTAACGGCCTACCTGATTCAGCCAGACATTGGTGGTCATGATCTGTTCACGTTCATTCTAGAGGAAGAAGAAAAAGAAAATTTAGAATATCTATATAGTAGAGACCATAGTTTTTCTCATTCGGGCCATACATACACTATCTTCATCTTTTCATTTACACAAATGACCAGCTATTGCTAGAGTTTCATCTATGCTGATGATCATGCCATCACCACCCAAGTAGGGAGCTTTGAAATGATTGAACAGAAGCTTTCTGAAGCTTTAGGTGCTCTTACTGCCTATTACAGGGAAAACCAGCTGATTCCTAATTCATCAACAATGGGGACGTGGGCTATCCATCTTAAGAACACACAAGCTATTCTGTCGCGTGCTGGGCCTGTAAATAATTTCCTTTAGAACAGGACGTGCAACCTTTGCCCAGCGGGAAGCCAGGGGGCCCAAAGAGAAGTTATCAGAGGTTTTCCACCACAAATGATCTTTAGATGGCTTGTGAAGTATAACAAAGTCTTTTCTTAATGAACAATCAAACAGAAACTTCTCTTGTCTTCAGTAAAGTTAAGCAAATGATTCCAAGTTTTTAGGCAACTGGTGAATTCCTAATCTTGCCTACGAAGGACAGGCAACTGTCTTCAATAACTTCTTCTTTAAAGGAAAATCCCCTTTTTAACTTCTCCCAGGCTGACTGTAATCTAACCCTTACTGATGTGGGCTCCGCTACCGGTTCGAACTGCGTCTCGAACGCCGAGTGGACCTACCAGTAAGGCAGTAGACTCCCCAGCTGGAGTTCTTTGGTCTTTAGGGCTGTTTTCCTGGAAATTCTTGGATGCTCTTAAAACTGTTTTCCCCGGAAATCTTGAGTGTTGAAGCTTTTGTACAGGGGAAGCTTGCACACGCCCTGTACATTAGTTTTCCTTGCTGAGACTAACTAAAAAATGGCTCCTTTCCCTTCCCAATTACCCTGAGCAAGGGTCGGGACCAAAACCTAATGATGATGGACAGGTGACTTTCCCTATGACTGCAACCAAAAGAAGCCACCTATCTGCAGAGTCCCTGAAACCTAGGACTGCAATCAAACATTTAATACAAAGCAAATAAAGCTGGAGCTCCTGGTACAGAACACAAGCATCTCGAGCTCTGAGGATCACCTGGGAAGGAATCCCACTGGAGCATTGCAGCACACCCAAATACATACATGGGAATTACCCTGAACTGCTCTATGACTTATAAGAAGCACTGCTTGAATATCAAACAAAAAGTGGGTGCAGGAAACAATATCATACGAAAACTGACTGGCACGACCTGGGGATCACAACCAGACACAGTGAAGACATCTCCCCTTGCGCTTGGCTACTTGGCTGCTGAATATGCATGCCCAGTGTGGAATACATCTCACCATGTTAAAACAGTGGATGTGGCTCTTAATGAGACATGCCGCATCATCACAGGATGTCTACACCCTACACCACTTGATAAATTCTACTGTTGAGATGGTATTGCACCACTTCACATCCACTGAGAAGTAGCAGCCAGTAATGAAAGGACCAAGGCAGTGACATCTCTGGCCCATCCTCTGTTTGGATATCAGCCAGCATGCCAACATCTTAAATCAAGAAACAACGTTCTAAGATCTACAACCTGTGGGCCATGGACCACCAGTGGTCCACAAGAACTAAAATATGGTCCCTGTTGAATAAAAAGGTTGAGCACCACTGATCTACAGATATTTGCTGGAACAGCTCAGCAAGTGAGAGTCCAAAAGTGGCAGGCTAAAACCCAGAACCTCAACCAGTGGCTGAGACTGAATGAGAGACTCCCCCCCGGGCAGATAGAAGATTGGGTGACCTGGAAGGCGCTGAGCAGGCTACATTCTGGCACCACAAGATGCAGAGCTAACGTTAAGAAATGGGGCTACAAAGTGGAGTCCACGACATGCGAGTGCAGAGAAGAGCAAACCACAGACCACCGACTACAATGCAGCCTGAGCCCTGCCACATGCACAACGGAGGACCTTTTTACAGATACTCCAAGTGGCCAGCTTCTGCTCAAAGGAAATTGAGCACACAATGCCAAGTTTTTAATTTTGCTTGTGTGTTTTTAATGCATCGTAACAGTATTCTCAATTCACTTCTGGCACGATAAATAAATAAATCTCTTCTTTAAATTACCTAGACTTGAGAAGACAAATTTGTTATAGCAAATCCTATGAATGGCAGTATGTTAAATATGAATTCATCCCTGAAACTACATATATCATTCCTTAAGGAAGAGATGGCTTACAAAATGCAAACATTTTATCTACATACAATTGCTTTAGTCGGAAAATCCAGCTCGATAATCCTCCTAGAGACCAGCACTCCAGTGTGTGGATTGATTCGGATTATTGCAAAAGTAAACAGAAAGTGCATTTACAAAAGAGGTTGCAGCAGCTTCAATCAAGGCTTGGGAGAAACCCTAGCCCATTAAAAAACAATAATTAGATTAGAGTGTTCTTGAGCTCCCAAGATGACCAGGGCTGCCGGCTATTTTGCGAGACAGAAGGGGAAAAGCTTTTAAAGGGAAGCGAGGCCTTTGGAAATGTAGAGAATTAATGGAGGAGTCATAACCTTAAAGGGATCAACGCAAGCAGGGCCAAAAGGAGAGAGAAAAGCGATGCACGGAGGAGTGGAAGGAAAACGGATTCGACTCCAAAAGATTCAGGGTTTTGGTATCACCAAACAACTGGGTTGGCAATTTTCTGCTCCTGGATTTGTGTATCGGCTGCGCAGACTGCTGAAGGTTAAAGAATGGAAAGAGAGATCTATATTTTCCAGCATTTCACAGATGAAAAGCATGTGGACAAGATGGCAGGAGTAATACTGTATATGCTCGAGTATAAGCCGACCCAAATGTAAGCCAAGCAGAGGCGGCCCTAGGTAATTTTCAACAGTAAGCAAACAGTATTTCCCCCCCCCCCCCCCCCCCCCCCCCCAACCAATCACTGATATATATTTTCTGTTCGTTGTGGGAGTTCTGTGTGCCATATTTGGTTCAATTACATCATTGGTGGAGTTCAGAATGCTCTTTAATTATAGGTGAACTATACATTCCAGTAATTATAACTCCCATATGTCAAGGTCTATTTTCCCCCAAGAGCGCCCCTGGGCAAAATCAACTATACTGCAAATGCTTACTTTGCGTAATGGTTGAGCCGCCCCTGAAGCCGAGGCACCTAATTTTACCACAAAAAAAACTGAGGAAAACGTATTAACTCAAGTCTAAGCCAAGAGCGAGAAATGCAGTCGCTACTTATCAATTTCAAAATAAAAATAGATACCTGTCATACACCAGAGCAAAAACACCTCTGACCTTAAACACCACACCAGCTTGGTAAAACCAGCAAGCAGTTTATTGAAGAATATATGTAGGCAAAGCAATAAAAATAGCAGAAACAGTAAAGGTCCAATATATAAAACTAGCTGTCCCCTGCCATACGTTGCTGTGGCCCAGTCTGTTGATCTGGAAAATAAAGTAATGAGAAAGTGTTGGTTTCTAATATATGTAATGTCTTTCTGCTTGTGGGTAAACAGTATTTCTTGCTGTTTCTTTGTCAGTGTTGATGTGGAGAGTGTCTGGTTTGCCCACCCTGGAACATGCAACATATCATTGTCTTTCTTTAAGGGTCCCCTTCAAATCTAGGATACTATATCTCTCTGTGTGTGAATCTATGTATCTATGTATCTATGTATCTATGTATCTATGTATCTATGTATCTATCTATCTATCTATCTATCTAGCCATATCTATGGCTGGATGGCTCTTTCTCAGGAGGACTTTGATTACGTTTTCTTGCCCTGATGAAGGGAGTTGGATTGGATGGCCTTAAGTATTTTCTGTTGGTCATGGGGGTTCTGTGTGGGAAGTTTGCCCTGATTCTGTCGTTCGTGGGGTTCAGCATGCTCTTTGATTGTAGGTGAACTGTGAATCCCAGTTACTACAACTCCCAAATGTCAAGGTCTATTTCCCCCAAACTCCATCTGTGTTCATATTTGGGTGTATTGAGTGCTTGTGCCAAGTTTGGTCCAGATTCATCATTGTTTGAGTCCACAGTGCTCTCTGGATGTAGATGAACTACAACTCCCAAACTCAAGGTCAATGCCCATCAAACCCTTCCAATATTTTCTGTTGGTGATGGGAGTTCTGTGTGCCAAGTTTGGTTCAATTCCATCGTTGGTGGAGTTCAGAATGCTCTTTGATTGTAGGTGAACTATAAATCCCAGCAACTACAACTCCCAAATGACAAAATCATAATTGTTGAGTAATGGTCACTCCTTGTGTTGTGAGACATTTTGTTGCCAAATTTGGTGTGATTTCGTTCATTGGTTCTTTTGTTTTTAAGGTACTCATTATGCACAGAGCATTTATATATATATAGATAGTCCATAAGCTTCAAAGGAAAACAATATCCATGAGTACATAAAAATCCACGAAACTAGGTGTTGCACCTCAGAATAGATTCACCTTGCTAAAATCACCAGAACTACACACAGACTGAAGTTTTTGTAGTTTATTAAAAAGTAAAGATGAAATGTTTAAAAAGCAAATAATGTTCCAAAGATCAATAAAACATAGCACTGTAAAGCAGAATTCCAAATGGCACCAATGAAACAAAGTCCCATGAGAACATGACAAAATCCCAAGACCATGGACACAGGAAAAACAAGCACAAGCTGCTCGGTTGAGCGAGAAGTTGCTCTAACAAAGGTTTGTTTTCAAACACACTGCTTAATACCCTTTGCAATACATGAAAGCATTTCTTTGGCCTCTGACCTCCTTCTTGTTGGCTATTCTTGCACTCCTTCGAACGCTGAATTCCAAACGGTCAGCCCAATCTAAGATTCCCATTTCATCAAGGTCAGGTTGCTCATTAGTGTCAGCCTGGTTGCCTTCCTGCCTACTATCAGGCTGAGAACTGTCCTCCTTTTCTGAGTCAATTTCCACCTGGCTACTTTCAGTATCAAAAACATCATTCCCTGCCGTGGGAAACTGAACTTGCACACCCTGTTCCTCATTGTCTATAACAGGAACATTTTGAACCTGATTGCGAACCTGAATCCCATCATCCTCATCACTCTGAGACCCCATCTGAGTCACAACACTATCAGTGTCTGTGATTCCAGCTGAGTCACAACACTAGGCACTTGAATCCATGAAACGAGACAGCAGGAAAATCTCATAGACGAATCTTAAGCTTGGAAAAAACTCAGAGCACTTGAAAACAAGACCGTGTTCAAAAAACAACGCTGACCCGACTGAGGCAACTTTCTCCCATGAATCATTATAAAGCCTTTTCTGATCCCAAAACTGAAAAGAAAGCATTTTCTTGACCTTCCCATCAGATAAAGGTTTGTTATCTCCCCTTTGCTGTAGATGAACCGATTATCTCAATCTCTGAAGACTTTGTCTCTGTTTATTAAAACTTTGCTTTCGGTCCAATCTTTCATTATCTTCTCCCTCATTAACTTCTGCACTTGACGAATCGTTTTCAGACAGTTGTTCTGAGAAAAGCTTTGAAGGGCCTCTCCCAGGAATGTGGCCTTGTGAATCTTCCTGAGACATCTCAGGACTCTTGTCTGAGCTTAACTTAGGCCTAAGCAAACCCTCATTCAAATGCCAACAGACCCAGACCCACCATTAGAAACATCATCCCCATTTCCATCATGAACATCAACATGAACATCAGACACAATCACAGGATGAACAGACTGACATAAAACAATACCAATAAAATGACATTAATTGAGGTATCAGTAGGTTAAATGTTTTTTAATATTTACCATATTTCAAAGAAAAACAGTAAACTAGCTCTGTAAGTGGAAAAGTAGGGTCAGCAAAAACAATATGGTATCAACAATAATGTAATAATAATAATAGTAATAATAATAATAATAATAATAATAATAATAATAATAATAATATCTGCTTGCATCATTCGAAAATACATCACACAGTCCTAGACGCTTGGGAAGTGTTCGACTTGTGATTTTTTGATACGATATCCAGCAAATAGATTTCGTTTGCTGTGACATACTGTGCTTTTGTGTCAATAATAATAATAATAATAGTAGTAGTAGTAATAATAATAATAGAACTTCATTTGTATTCCACCCTATCTCCCCATGGGAACTCAGGCCAGCTTCCAACATAGTAACAGGCAAACATGCAATGCCTATATAAACAATGCAGAGCTAAATATAGATCTATAATTATATATACTAGTTTCCCACTGAAATGTTTGCAGATTCTCTCTCTATATATGTGCATTTCCCTCCTGCAATATTTGCAAGCCCCATATATCTATTATATCTATCTAGACATCTCTCTCTTTATAAGTGTGTGTGTGTGCATTTCCCTGCAATATTTGCAAACCCTATATATCTATATTAATATCTATCTAGACATGTCTATATATATTTGTGTGTGCCTTTCCCTTTGTAATATTTGCAAGCCCTAAATAGCTATATTCATATATATCTATCTAGACATATCTCTATATATAGATAATTATATCTATATAGGATTTGCAAAGACTTGCAAACATGTGAGGGGGAATTCATATATTAAATTATTTACACACACAGAGAGAGAGATATATACAGATATATAGGTACCTCTCTCTCTCTCTCTCTATATATATATATATATATATATATATATATGATTTGCAGAGACTTGCAAACATGTGAGGAGGAAATTCTTATAAAAATATTGTAAACATATAGACACAACTATACAGGTGCATGGAAATCTCTAGATATCTATATGTATATAGGACTTGCAAAGACCTGCAAACATACGAGGGGGAAACTTCCATGGGATCAAAACTGCACATATGAAGTTAATACCTTTAGATAAACAAACAAAAAGCCAGGAAATTGGGTGGGTTTGAAAGAGAGCCATACAAACAAGGAGGACATGAAATACATTTCCTTTCCCTCCTTCCCTCCCTTTTGACTGGAAAAGAAAACACACTGTTTAGGGAGGGGAAGAGGAGAGAGAAATGTATCATATATTGCAAGCCATGGCCTCCAGGCTCCGCTGCCCGGCCTTGACCCCATTAGAAGCCCGAATCCTTAAAATTAATTAAATGCGGAAGGTCATAACTTGACAATGGATAATTCTTTTATTGGAAAAATCAAGACACTTTTGGACATTGTTAGGATTTTTAAATGGCTTTTTAAACTTTAGTTCTTACCAGTTTGTGAATGATGAATGTAACCATTCCATTTAATGATTTTCTCTTAGCCTCTTAATGCTAAAATACATTGATTTCCTTTAACGATTTAAGGTTAATGTGCTAGTGCTAAATGGTCATGTTTCCAAAGTATTGCTCATGCCTTTACTTTTCTCTTCACCCCTGATTTACTGTGACAAAGCCTGTTTGGATTATTGACTTTGCTCCAACTTTAATAATTTTATGCTACGACTAGTTTATGTACCTAAATCTTGATCCAGTTGCTAATCATCAACCAAAGTAGACCGATTAAAGCCATGGGATTTACAGAACAACTGATTTACCATTTAGCAGCTCTTTCAATGGGTCTAGTCCAATTTGGACAAGCAATTCGATTTAAGATCTGAATTTATTTGGAGCCTTACTTTTGCTGTTGTTACATGCATTCAAGCCAACTCAGGCCTATGGAGAGCCAGGGCTGTCTGGGCAAAACTTATTCTGAGGAGGCTTGACCCAAGGTCACCCAAAAGGTTTCCATGACCTGAAAATGTACCTGAGATCACCCAATGTCTTTCTGTGACCTGAAGATGTATCAAAGATCACTCAGTGGTTTTCCATGGTCACTAGAAGTACATGAGATCACTCAATGGGTTTCTGTGCCCAGTTAGATGTACTTAAGATCACCCAATGGCTTTCTATGACCTGAAGATGTACCTAAGATCATCCAAAGGCTTTCCATGGCCTGAAGATGTACCCAGGACTGCCCAAAGGGTTTCCATGGTCTGAAAATGTACCTAGGTTCACCCAATGAGTTTCCATGCCCAGCTAGATGTACCTAAGATCTCCCAATGGCTTTCTATGGCTTGAAGATGTACCCAAGATCACTCAGTGGATTTCCATGGCCAATATATGTATTCAAGATTGCCCAGTGGGTTTTGAGGGCCAGTAGATATACTCAAGGTCACCTAAAGGGTTTCCATGTCCTAAAGATGTACTTTAGATTGTCCAATTGTTTTCCATGGTCAGTAGAAGTACCTATGATCACCTAAATGGTTTCTGTGGCCTTAAAATGTACTTAATATCACACAATGGGTTTCCATGGCCTGAAAATGTACCTAAGATCACCCAATGGGTTTCCATGCCCAGTAGATGTACCTAAGGTCACCTAATGGCTTTCCATGGTCTGATGATGCATCCAAGATAACCCAAAGGATTTCCAGGACCTGAAGATGTACTCAAGATCACTCAAAGGCTTTCCATGGCCAGAACACCTACCCAAGATGACTCAGTAAGTTTCCATGGCCTGAAGATGTAGTGAAGATCACCCACAGTATTTCCATGGCCTAAAAATGTACTTAAGATCACCCAAAGGGTTTTTATGGCCTGAATATGTAGCCACAATCTTTCAAAGGGTTTCCATGACCCAAAAATGTACCTAAGATCACTCAGTAGGTTTCCATGGCTTGAAGATGCACCCAAGATCACCCAAAGGGTTTCCATGACCTGAAGACATACCCAAGATCACTCAAAGGGTTTTTATGGCCTAAATATGTACCCAAGATCACTCAATGGGTTACCATGGCCTGAAGATGTACCCAAGATCACTCAGTAGGTTTCCATGGCCTGAAGATGCAGCCAAGATCACCCAAAGGGTTTCCATGGCCTGAAGATGTACCCAAGATCACTCAAAGGGTTTCCATGGCCTGAAGATGCACCCAAGATCACTCAAAGGGTTTCCATGGCCAGAACACGTACCAAAGATTACTCAGTAAGTTTCCATGACCTGAAAATGTACTTAAGATCACCCAAAGGGTTTTATGGCCTGAAGAGGTACCCAATATCACTCAAAGGGTTTCCATGGCCTGAAGATGCACCCAAAGGGTTTCCATGGCCAGAACACGTACCAAAGATTACTCAGTAAATTTCCATAACCTGAAGATCCACCCAAGATCACTCAAAGGGTCTCCATGACCTGAAAATATACTTAAGATTACCCAAAGGGTTTTATGGCCTGAATATGTAGCCAAGAACACTCAATGGGTTTCCATGGCCTGAAGATGTACCCAAGATCACCCAAAGGGTTTCCATGACCTGAAGATGCAGCCAAGATCACCCAAAGGGTTTCCATGGCCTGAAGAAGTACCCAGAACACTCAAAGGGTTTCCATGGCCTGAAGATGCAGCCAAGATCACCCAAAAGGTTTCCATGGCTTGAAGATGTACCCAAGACCACCCAATGGCTTTTCCTGGAGTCCCAGTCTGACATTTGAAGTTTTACACCATACAGGCTCAAAAGGCAATGGGGGGGGGGGGGTTGACCTTCTAGTCTTTCCGTTCTTCCTTTTTCTGATCCCTCCAAAGGCATGAAGAACTTCTTTTGGAACACTTCAAGTTTGGCAAATCATCACTTCAAAAGAGTGTAGGGCATTGAATTGTGTAACATTTAAAAGAAACTGTCCCACTCCACTCCCCCCCAAAAATCCCAGTAGAATTCCCTCTACTTCTGGATTTGGCGTGTGTGTGTCAATTTTTAAGTGGGAAAAATTATCTCCTGAGACAAAGCGCAGATGTCCACCCTTGTCTTACATTCATCTATGGAGGGAGAGCTAACATTAGTCCAACCTACCACATTGATGAGCTGGGCCAGCACCACTTGCAGCTCGATGACTACCAATTGTGAGGAGTTGAAGGCCGGGCGAATTAGATTGTTGTAGCGGGAAGTGTTGAGGAGGTGGTTCATCAATCTTTCTTCAGCATCAGCTGTGTCACTTCCTGCAAGACAGAGAGAATCGGGTTCACAAAATCCTAATATTTTGGTCATTACAGGTTGAGAATCCCATATCCAGGATTCCAAGATACTCCAGAATCAGGTGAGCTAGTGACATCTACCTGGAGGATAGAAGGCGGTGAAGCTTTTTGTTGGTTGGAGTCCAAACCTGATGAACGGAATTAGACTATATAACTGCACTAAAAATTCCTAGAGAGGTGTTCCTTCTGGAAACCTCTGGGTCTGTGGTTCTCAACCTGTGGCCTTCTACTCCCACAAATCCTAACAGCTGGTAAACTGCCTGGGATTTCTGGGAGTTGTAGGCCAAAACACTTGGGGACCCACAGGTTGAGAACCACTGCTCTAGGTACTTACTTACTTAGGCGATCCCTCATTGGCCGAGTAGGATAGTCTTCCAGGATCAGTATTCTGGTGGGTGGCTGTGGAGCCCTATTCTTGATCTGCATCTTCTCCCGCAGTGAGGGCATTGATTTCCAGGTGGAAGGTGGTCTCGGTCGGAGTTGGCTTGATGCACCTTCCTCTTGGAACGTTTCTCCCTTTTGACCTCCATTCATGCCTCTTCAAATTCTGCAGCACTGCTGGTCATAGTTGACCTCCAGCTGGAGCGCTCAAGGGCCAGGGCTTCCAAGTTCTCAGTGTCTATGCCAGAGTTTTTAAGGTTGGCTTTGAGCCCATCTTTCAATCTCTTTTCCTGTCCACCAACATTCCGTTTTTCATTCTTGAGTTTGGGAGAGGGTGGTTGGGCATCCGGACAACATGGCCGATCCAGCGGAGTTGATGGCGGAGGACCATCACTTCAATGCTGGTGGTCTTTGCTTCTTCCAGCACGCTGACATTTGTCTGCCTGTCTTCCCAAGAGATTTGCAGGATTTTTCGGAGGCAGTGTTGATGGAATCGTTCCAGGAGTTGCATGTTGACCATTTTGCTATATGCCTGTGAAACGTGGACTGTCTACAGCTGTCACATGCAACTCCTGGAACTGCTCAGCATGACTTGTAGAAGATAAACAGAGATTTGTCAAATCAGCGAATAATCAAATCTGCAAATGTCAAAGCCACAGATGTGGAGGGACGACTGTGGCTCATCAACTCAGGAAAAGACAAGGAAGAGGAACAAAATCTTATAGGTTTGAGTCAAAACGAATTGCTGCAGCTTTGACCATGCTATGATATCGCTTGTCTATATTGGTTCCAGCTCTCGCCCATGACATCTAGCAAGATAAGGAATTCTGAACGGCACAAAGACAAGAGGTACTTTATCATTTCCCTCCTTCTGCTCAAAACATTTTTTCAGATACGTAACCATCTTTCCAAGTCTTTCCCATCCCAAATGTTCCACCCAGTTATTTGGTTCTCTCCAAAAAAACACCCAACAACAACAGCTTAGTTACCTAGCTCTTGCCCAGTCTATATAGCAGTGGTTCCTAACCTGTGGTCTGCACGAACTAAAATATGGTCCATGGCCTCACTGTTACTACACCGTTGCAACAAGAGTGACTGGTCTCACATGTCGCACCTCAGAGTAGATACACCTTGCTGAGAAACACCAAACTGCACACAGCCAGAAGTCTTTATAGTTTATTAAAAAGTAAAAGGTAAAAAGTTCTTAAAAGCAAAAATGAAGTTTTAAAAGATCAATACAAAATAACACTTTGAAGCATGAATCAAAAAGGCACCGGCAAAGCAGAATCCATGAGAACATGACTAGGTCTTGAGAACATGAACACAAGAACTGCAAGATAATCCAGATAAGCAAACCCAAACTGCTTGGCAAAATGAAAAGTTCTGACAAAGATTTGGTCTCAAACAGGTCTGTTAGACGTGGACTGTCTACAGACGTCACATGCAACTCCTGGAACGATTCCATCAGCGCTGCCTCCGGAAAATCCTGCAAATCTCTTGGGAAGACAGGCGGACAAACATCAGCGTGCTGGAAGGAACAAAGACCACCAGCACTGAAGTGATGGTCCTCCGCCATCAACTCCGCTGGACTGGCCACGTTGTCCGGATGCCCGACCACCGTCTCCCAAAGCAGTTGCTCTACTCCGAACTCAAGAACGGAAAACGGAATGTTGGTGGACAGGAAAAGAGATTTAAAGATGGGCTCAAAGCCAACCTTAAAAACTCTGGCATAGACACCGAGAACTGGGAAGCCCTGGCCCTTGACCACTCCAGCTGAAGGTCAGCTGTGACCAGTAGTGCTGCAGAATTTGAAGAGGTACGAATGGAGGGCGAAAGGGAGAAGCGTGCCAAGAGGAAGGCGCGTCAAGCCAACCCTACCGCGATCGCCTTCCATCTGGAAACCAATGCCCTCACTCCAGAAGAAGATGCAGAGCAAGAATAGGACTCCACAGCCACATACGGACCCACAAGAACACTGGAAAACAAGGGGTCGCCTAAGTAACTAAGTAAGTAAGGTCTCAGACACTCTGTTTAATACCCTTTGCAAAACATGAAGGCGTTTCTTTGGCCTCTGACCTCCTTCTTGCTAGCTATTCTCACACTCCTTCGAACTCTGAATTCCAAATGGTCAGCCCGATCTAAAGAACTCATTTTGTCAAGGTCAGTCTGTTAGTTAGTGTTATCAGGCTGAGAGCTGTCCTCCTTCTCTGAATCAATTTGTACCTGCGCCAGGCTAGTTTTACTATCAACAACTTCATTCCTGAAGTGGGAAACTGAACTTCTACCCCCTGTTCTTCATTGTCTGTAACAGGGACATTTTGAACCAGATTGTGAACCTGAATCCCATCATCCTCATCAGAGGCACACTGTGGTTCCAGCTGAGTCACAGCATCGCAAAACCCTCTTATAGTGCCAAGGTTTATTAAATATGGTTTTCTCTGGGTGAGCAGATGGGGACTACTGGGTGGTGTATGTTCTGTATCAGAAACTAGAACTGATGTGGTCTATCCAAAGCAATTTTCTGAATCAGCAACCAAATCTAAAGTTGACCAAAAACTGATTCGTAACCCTTTTGGTACTAATGTTGGAGAGTGAGTGATCTCTGGTCAAAAAACAGTGGGGAACTACTGCTCTATAGTCTCTCCTCCAGACCCACCTCCAATTTTTAACCCTCTCCCTTCCAACTTCTTTTCTCCCTCCATTTCTTCTTTTCCAGCGTTCCATCTTTTCTCCTCCAAGTGCTGGTTTCATCTTCCACGTCCAAAATACAGCCTGTTCGTGAACTATCTAGTTTGGTACTTTTATTTCCTCCTGATTTTATGGCAAAAGGAAGGATATGCCACTAGATGTCACCAGCAAGTTGGCTTGGATGTGGGTTTTTTCCCCTTCGTTTTTTGTAAAGTTTGCGGGTTCCTCTCCGAAGCTCATCCCTTCTATCCCGCATGAAATAACCAGATTTGCATGTTTATCTATGCGACGTGACTTACAAATCACAATTAAACCTTGTCTTGGTTTCGAGAACTGGATCTTACAACTTTCCATTTGCTCAAGTGGCTAACAAACCAAAAACAACCAAAACGACAACCAAAAAGAGCAAGGGGATAATTCAGTTGTATCAATAGATAAACAATAGACCTCTCTACCTCTGAGGATGCCTGCCATAGATGTGGGAGAAATGTCAGGAGGGAATGCTTCCTGAACATGGCCAGACAGCCCCGAAAACTCACAGCAACCCAGTGATTCCAGCCATGAAAACCTTCGACAACAAATCTCACTTGCCTAGTTTCCAACAGACCTCTCTACCTCTGAGGATGCCTGCCATAGATGTGGGTGAAACGTCAGGAGGGAATGCTTCCGGAACATGGCCAGAAAACTCACAGCAACCCAGTGATTCCAGCCATGAAAACCTTCGACAACAAATCTCACTTGCCTAGTTTCCAACAGACCTCTCAAACTTGGAGGATACCTACAATAGACGTGGGTGAAACATCAGGAGATAATGCTTCTGGAACATGGCCAGACAGCCCAGAAATTCCAACCTCTGAGGATGCCTGCTATAGATGTGGGTGAAACGTCAGGAGAGAATGTTTCTGGAACATGTTGTCGAAGGCTTTCATGTTGTCGAAGGCTTTCATGGCCGGAATCACTGGGCTGCTGTGAGTTTTCTGGGTGATATTGTCATATTCCAGAAGCATTTTCTCCTGATGTTTCACCCACATCTATGGCAGGCATTCTCTGAGGTTGAGAGGTCTGTTGGAAACTAGGTAATTGATATATAATCCTCCCTTGCCTAGTCTCCAACAGACCCCTCAACCTCTGAGGATGCCTGCCATAGATGTGGGCGAAACATCAGGAGAAAATGCTTCTGTAAAATGTCCATACATCCTGGAAAACTCACCGCAACCCTGATAGATAGACAGATAGAGAGATATCATTTCACCAAACGTTGTGGATCTTATGACACATTTTGACTACACCTGGTTTCTGCGACAATTTCAGTCGCGTCGACAGGAATCTACTCTGGCCATTCAGAAGAGGAGTTGCGATAAAGAAATATTTCTCTACCCATTGAGAGGAATATGATTATTTTAGAAAGAGAATGGCCTTTTGGTTGAAAAAGGAGCTGTCCAGACAAGGACACATTCTGCAGTATTGCAGGACTCAATGGAATCTGGTTAAGGTTGGTTCATATTCATTCCTCTCCGTCCAATATATTTGTGTGTCCATTCTTGTTAGTTTCCAGATGTGCCCAACTACAATTCCCATCGTCCTTAGCCAACAAGATCTGGAGGGAGTTATCATCCAACACAAGTGAAAGATATCAGGTTCGGTGGGAATATATCATTGTTTCTCAACCTGGGGGTCAGGATCCATGGGAGGGGGTTGTGAGAGGGGTGTCATAGAGGTCACCAAAGACCACCAGGAAACACGGTATTTTCTTTTGATCAGTTGGGTTCTATGGCCCAATTCAATCGTTGGTAGAGTTCAGAATGCTCTTTGATTGTAGGTGAACTATAAATCCCAGCAACTACAACTCCATAATGACAAAATCTACCCCCCCCCCCAACCCAGCACTATTCAAA